GACAAGGTGCAGCGGTGGCAGGATGTACTCGCTAAGAATGGACTCCGGCTGAACGTAAAGAAAACCAAGTTCCTGAGCTCCGAAGAGTGTACCGAACCCATCGTAGACCGTCACGGCGAGAGCATCGAAAGGGTCGAGGACTTATCCAAGTACCTGGGCAGGCGGACTCTAGCAGCTAATGGCAGCGTGGACCAGGCGGTGAAGACCCGAATCAACGCAGCCTGGATGAAATGGAGGGAGTCCACTGGCATCCTGTGCGACCGGCGGTGCTCGAGAACGCTCAAGGGCAAGGTGTACCGGGCCGTGGTAAGACCTACAATGCTCTACGGCAGTGAGTGCTGGCCCATCTGCAGGAGCCATGAAAGGCAGCTCCACTCAGCTGAAATGAGGATGCTGAGATGGGCCTGCGGCTGGACACGACTCGACAGAGTCAGAAACGAGGACGTCAGGGCGGTCACACAGACCGCTCCGATCCAGCTGAAAAAGGGGGGGCCCCCCCCACGAGAAGCAACGACTGCGATGGTATGGGCACGTGCTGAGAAGGTCTAAGGACCACCCAATAAGGAAGGCATTGGAATTCGAAGCAGAGGGTAAGCGACCACGAGGAGCCCCAAAGAAAAGATGGAGGGACGTCATCAAGAAGGACCTCACTGAAGTGAAAGCCACAGCAGAAGATGCAGTGGATCGGAACAAGTGGCGACGTCTAACAAGATCAGCGGACCCTGCGACGGCGCGGGACTAACGCTAGGGAGAAGAAGAAGAAGAAGAAGCTCTTTCCACCAGTATTAAAGTGCTCAAACTGGAATGTCGGGTACGACAAAATTGTAGCATGTTTTGACAGCCTTCTCCTTTCTAGTTACCTCCAATTGAGAAAAGCTACTACCGAAATAGGCCCAGTTGCTGCGTATAATGGCGGCTGAATAGGCTACGTTCCTTGAGGGAATGACCTGAATCAATATTTACACAGCAAGTGATTCGAAGATTTCGGTTTCGACCTCACAGACAAGCATCGGGCCTATTTTGCCCATTTGAGAGCTTACGGAATTACCTCACTCTGGAGACTCATGCCAAAGATTGAAGAACCGTTCGAGGTCATGGGATGCCTTCCCTATCATTATCAAGCATTACCCTCAGTTGATGTTAGACGTTCGAAAATAAGTGGGTAGGTTCTGCAGGCAGTCTTCCCCTAAGAGGGTCCTTCACGCGATGCTCTCTCACAAGGACCGAATTCCCAAATGTCAAGCTGTCATAAGACGCATCCTTCCTTGGTCATTACAGGGGGGCCAAAAAAGTCACTTCGACCGAGTCACATATCAGCAAAGTTTTTGCAGCCCAGAGAGAAGATGTGGATACGAGTACCAGGGCGGAAGATACCCAAGATGTTCCTCGATAAGCAGGAGCTGGCCCTCGCCCATCACCTTCATGTACACCAAAATATGAGGTCATCTCCAGTCGCAGCCTGACTGGAGAAGACCTTTGGAATTCATGTCACCTCCAAACAGCTGCGAAACTTCTAGTGTGGAGTCACCCATGGGTAGCCTGGAGACCAGTACTCTCAATCTGGAAGACCTCCAACATCGAGCAGCTCCGACAACGTCGCTACGGTCTAGGACATCATCTTCACCGCAGTCAAACTTCGCCTACTTGGAATGGAAGGGCGTTGAGCTTACCTAAAGAGAGCGGTATATCCAACGTAGGGTTCATCTGAACTGAATCCCACTCAGTTACGGTTCGGGTGGAGTTCAAGGGTGGTCTACGGTGGCGGAGAAATCGACTATCTCGCTGATCTCAGGCACCACATCGCGGTCGCGTGCCAGAATCTCTCGATGGCGCTCGTCCAGAAGGCTGTGGCGGAGTGTCATGATAGTATTTAATATGCTCTTCATGTGGGTGGTTTGAAAATGTCGATGAGAATCATAAAGCTGTAACTCATCAGCGCCACGAAAGCAATGAAAGAATTAGGACTTTCCCCCCCCCCCTGTTATATACAACAAGGTTTAGAGCTTTCTTCTGTAGATGAGAGCCGAGATAAAATGTACAAGAAGTTGTTTTGTCAAAACTCACTTTCGGGTCGTCGACGCGAATTTCCCTTTCAATGAAATAAAAAACGACACAAGTCGAGAAATAGTAAGAAGGCAATTATACCATCTCATAGTGCGGAAAATTATCTATCAAACAGTGTAACATATTGGGAACAATTGTTATTTTCCACATGAAAAATTTTTGTGACAAAAAACGCATTACTTATGGGCCAAAATATTTTCGTCACATATGCCGCTTAGATATTTGGTGATGTCTAACGTTTTACGATTCCTACAGCGAGTGATTCCGCTGCCTGATTCGAAATTTAGCACAGAATTATTTTATTTTCAAATTTTGTCTTCTATGGCAGTTCTTTTACACATAATCGCATTCAGAAAGAAGGAGATCAATTGGGAGAAGGTGATCTACTATGTGAGATTGAAACGGACAAGGCTACAATGGGCTTTGAAACGCCAGAAGAAGGCTATCTGGCCAAAATATGCATTCCTGAAGGATCGAAGGGTGTCCCAATCGGAAAAGTGCGTTTGCCTGTTGAGAAATTTTCTCAGCTTTCTTATATCAACACTCATTTCAGTTGTTGTGCATTATTGTTGACAGTGAAGATGCCGTGGCAGCATTCAAGGACTTTAAAGACGATGGAGCAGGAGCTCCAGCTGCTGCTCCAGCAGCGGCCGAATCGCCACCCGCCTCAGCAGCGGCTCCATCACCGCCGGCTGAAGCAGCAGCTGCTCCTCAAGGTGAGATCATGGCTACGTGTGAGAATCGTTCAGTAATACTGTCATCTGGGGGCGCTACCACTGAATTGTGATCACTGAAGTCTGCATATTAGGCAATATTTTTACTTCGGGACAAATGTAACCTCTGTCTGCGCGACACCATTCGAGACGAAACCCGTCTCGAACTGGAACATCTCACGAATAACCAATCTTACGTCATGTTCAAATGATTTACACTCAAATCTCTGAGATGTGGTAGGCGTGGCGGCGTACTTCAACTGACGAGGCGGTGGCTGCCCTTTTGGTGAGATATTTTCATTTTGACACAATTGTGGTCGTGTCTCTGTCCAACACAGAACAAGATGACAGTTGTCTCGAACTGAAATATCCCACGATAACCGATCCTACGGCAAGCCCAATGCCACGCCTACTCGCGTCTCAGGGATGTGGAGTGCAGTTGATATTGTCGCAATCGTCATGGTCAGTTGGGGCGGTGTCAGTAGGAGGGGAATAAGCCCACACGGCTGCTTCTGTACTACCAATAGGTGATCGGTTGGTGATTAGTTCAGGAAGAAAACCAGTGATTAAACGTCGCGGAAGGGCGCATTCCGTGCCTCCTGACAATGCTCTGACTGACTGCGAGGGGGCAATAAATGACCATTTTCATTCATCGACTTCCAAAGCGCATAAGTAACACTTACTTGGGAATTAAAATGAACATTTCACCATACAACTACGACAACACCTGAACACCATCACGATATGCCCCAGCGCCCACCACGAGCGCCAATCTAGAGATTCTGCAACCCGATGACGTATGCCGGCCTGGTCAGCGCTCGGGACTTTCCCACCGTAGACCATCCCTGTTGAGCTCCTCTCGAGGGTTGGTCAGGTGCAACACTGGTGTTCCCACTCTCAGGTTCCAACAACCGTTCTCACCCAAGAGGCGAAAGTTTTTCCAAACCGCCTTCGATTCCATGAGTGAACCCAATCCTGTAGCAGTACGAAGTTCCCAAGACGGTACACGGACGAGGACATGAAAGCAGATATTCTCCTCGAGTTGGTCGATGTAACCGTCAGCGCTCACTTCCAGTCCGGGTCCACGAAGAAAATATTGGTCTTTCCATTCCAGGAACTTCCGGTCATACCATCAACCCGCGCCTTGGCGACTGCGGTGAAGATGATGTCCTAGACCGTAGCGACGTTGTCGGAGCTCGATGTTGGAGGTCTTCCAGATCGAGAGTACTGGTCTCCAGGTAGCTATCCATGGGTGACTCCATACTAGAAGTTTCGCAGCTGTTTGGAGGTGACATGAATTCCAAAGGTCTTCTCCAGTCAGGCTGCGACTGGAGATGACTTCATATTTTGGTGTACATGAAGGTGATGGGCGAGAGCCTGCTCCTGCTTATCGAGGAACATCTCCCTGGTACTCGTATCCACGTCTTCTGTCTGGGCTGCGTAAACTTTACTGATATGTGACTCGGCCAAAGTGTCTTTTTTTATTGGCTCCCCTGTACATGTCACTACTGAATATTCCCTAACGGTTTACTCTTGTCCGATCTTCTTTCCAAGAATCGCAAGTAACGGCTTGGAAAATACCAAGCTT